CAGTGATTGTGTGCTCTAGAATTTTGGGGTCTTTGACTTCAGAATTCAAACTTGTGAGCAGAGTTTTTCATAACAGCAAAAGAGTACAAATGACTAAAATGTTTATCAATAGAGGAATAATAGAGTTAAGATGCCAATTGTTATAGTTTTGATCTGTAATGTCACCCAAATGCTCCTATGTTGAATACTTGGTCTCAATGCAGCAGTGTTAGGAAGTGATTGGATCATAAGAGCTCTAACTTCACCAGTGGATTAATCCAGTAATGGATTCATAATTTGATGGCATTATTGAGTTGTGGTAAAAATTAGGGAATAGGAGGTGGTAACTAATTAGGGAAAATAGGTCACTTGGGGTTTGTCCTTCAAGGATACATCACATCCCTAGCTTTCTCTCTCTCTTTCTCTCCATCTCACTCTCTCATTCTTGGCTTCCTGATTTCCACAAGGTGAGCCACTCTACTCAACCACATGCTTCCTGCCATGATAATCTGCTTTGCAACAAACCCACACCAGTGGGGCCAAGTGATTATGGACTTAAACCTTTGAAACTGTGAGCCAAGGCAAATCTTTCCTCTTTGGTTTTTCTCAGGTATATTGTCACAGCAATGAGAAGCTGACTTACATACACATCCTTTGCACAGAACACCATGCAGTGAGTAAAATGGATTTAGTTGACCTGTATATATTGACATTCGAATTCCCCTTTTTGTTATTCAAGTAATAAACTGGAAGTCACAGAAAATATATGTAATTTGATTTTATCATGTTTTTAAAACACCAAAATATACCCCAGATATTTAGTTATGCAAGATGGAAACTCAACAAGAGATGGGATAGGGGTGATGAGGTGATTTTTGAGTCCCTTCTAGCTTTCAGATTTAGTAATCCTAAGAAATAAAAATTTATATTCCTTTAAAAAAATACTGTTTTGACCCATATAAGAAAACTGTAAAATGTTATAGAGAGACATAAAAGGAGACCTGGATAAAAGGAGATGCATACCAGTTTCCTGGATTGATAGTCAGCATTGCCAAGCTATAAAGTTCCTTAAAGTAATCTAAGATTATAAACAGTGACAAAATCAAAATCCCAGTGCATTTTGGGAAAAGAAAAATAGTTCTAAAGTAAAAAGAACAAGACAATATTTGGCAATAAAATGTACTTTAAAAAGTTACAAAAGTTAGAATTATGTACTAGTATATATACCACATTTTCTTTATCCATTCATCTACTGAAGGGCATGTAGGTTGGTTCCACAATTTTGCTATTGTAAATTGTGCTGCTATAAACATTGATGTAGCTTTGTCTCTGAAATATGCTGTTTTGTGGTATCTATACACAATGGAATATTACTCAGCATTAAAAGAGAATAAAATCATGGCATTTGCAGGTAAATGGATGGAGTTGGAGAATATTATGCTAAGTGAAGTAAGCCAATTCCAAAACAGCAAATACCAAATGTTTCCTCCGATATGAGGATGCTGATTCATAATGGGAATGTGGGGGGTGGAGCATGGGAGGAATGGAGGAACTTTAGATAGGGCAAAGGGGAGGGAAGCGAAGGGAGGGGGCATAGGGGTAGGAAAGACGGTGGAATGAGGTGGACATCATTACCCCAAGTACATGTATGAAGACATGAATGGTGTGACTCTACTTTGTGTGCAACCAGAGATATAAAAAAATTGTGCTGTATATATGTACTATGAATTGAAATGCATTCTGTTGTTATATATAACAAATTAGAATAAATAAATAAATAAAAGATATGTACTAATGCCAGAACAGACTGATTGTGAAACAAAAGAGAAAATCTAGAAACATATGAGAATTTAGTATGCAGCAAAAGTGATACTTCATCAGGCAAGGCTGGAATATTAGATCACCTGTAGGGACATCAGTTGGCTTGGCAGTCCTCCCATGGGGAGGGCAATGCTGTGTCTTTTGGAAAAGCTCTCTCAGCCTAATCATTCAAAAAGAATTTTAGGTTCTGTTACTTTCTCCTACCTCATGCTGAAATATATTTCTAGTATATTAAAGCTTCTAAAAGACTTAAGAAAGAACAGTCATTAAAGTCCCACTAAGATATTGATAAAAATATAACGTTGGGATTAAGACATAATATAAATGTGATCTCAGAGGCAGAGACCACAACGAAAAAAATGGATAGATTTATTCATATCAGAAAATCGAAAATTAGGTACATTTGTATATGCAAATTAACAAAATTAAAAGACAACAACCAAGTGGGGGGAATGCTACATAAGCCACAGACAACTCTTAAACACATACAGAAGTTTTATTAGTCAGTACATTTAAAAAATGAACATTTTATAGAAAGATTGGTTAAGGGAATGAAAAGGCATTTGCTGAAGTAGAAATTCAAGCAGCACATAAATGGGACATCTAGATAGAATCCTTGAGGATGTTGACTCTGTAGACCCTTATAGCTTGTGGATGTGGCCAACTCTTCCATAGTAAGAGTGACACTTAACCTAAATGGCAAGGTCAATCCGAAGTTCTAATCACAAGGCAATAGGTGCTCATTCAGGGACTGCTCCCCATCTCCTCTTTGTTATCAGGAAGGGGAATAGCCAGGGTTCAATCTCAGCATCACTCAGTTAGAGACATATTGGGCCTGTTACAGAGGAGAGAGATTGCATAATGAGGCGGCTGCAAGAATTAGTAAGCATGTACCAGCAGGAGCTGACAGCAATTTTTGATTAAATTCAACTTTTTAAGGGTGCTTGATCAAGATATGCAAGAACATAAGCCAAGCTAAATAAAAATTTATTGTCTTTGGGAACCTTTTCTTGGGACATGAAATCCTGGTAAGACCCTAGAAGATAGGGTAAACTCAATGCTAGGTGATTCATAGCACCCAGGAGAAAGTCATGATTCATGCACAGTAAGGCAGCAATGTCTGAATTGCCCTAAGACATGGTAGAGAAGGAAAGAAAGAGCTGTGGGAAGTGGGCTTGCTGGGATGAATTTATTGTGTGAAGGCAGAAGACCAGTCAGAGGGCTGTGTTCTGCCGGCACACAGATACACAAATGATGAATGGGGTGCACACAGATGAGAGGGGCACTGGCATCACTAGGAAATTCAGAGGAGTCTGTCCTCTGTAGGCTAGGGATGAAGGAAAAATCAGCCATCATAAGGCTGGCCTAGATAATATCCAGGGGATAAGAGGATCCCAGAGTAATAGAAACTTGGTGGTGGCTTGAAGCATCAGAAGCCTGCAGGCTGTGATTACTGTTAACAGCTGTAAGCAAGCCTGGCCCTCCCTCTCTGTGCTTCCTATTTTGAGATAATGATGCTAGATTCTATATGTGCTTCTGCTATGATGTGATGCCATCCATGGACCTCACCAGAGGCCAAACACATGGGGCTGCTTGATATTGAACTCTGAGCCTCCAAAACTGTGAGCTAGCTAGACTTCTTCCTTCCTAAAGCAGCATCCCTCCAACATATCTTATGGAATACCAAACTAATATAAGATCCTTAAACTTGAGTTAAAGTATTGGAGAAGACCAGATGGAAGCTGGTGAAGTTGCTCCTTTTCCCAAGTCCAGATAATAAATAAAAACTAATATTTCCCCCAAGGAGGATGATGGTAGAGATAAGTGCCATCATGAAATATTTAAAGGATACAGGATTGGTTATCCCTGTCATATTTTCATTTAATTTGCCAGTGTAGCTTCTTTAGAAATCAGATGGCCCCAGAAGGAGGGCTTAAGATGGAGGCATTATTTGGTGAAGCACCAAGAGAGATGGAAGTGTTATCTGTCCAACTTGTTGCCACTGGACTGTCCCTGTAAGCACTTAAAAATAAACCTTGTGCCTTACATGCCACCTTCAGGTACTTTCTTTTGGTCTCTTAGCAACTTATCCCACTGCTCTAACACAACTGGGTTGTAGACAGTACAGAGGTGAACCACATGGACATCCCACAGAATGTCTCCATTTATTACAACAATGACATCATGTTAAATAGGCATGATAAGCGGGCAGGTGCCTAGCATTCTGGAAACCTTGGTATGGCATATGTACTTCACAGGTTCAGAAAACAGCCCTAGAGAACTGAGGGAACTACTACTTCAGTTTTTAGGATCTAGGGGTCAGGGGTTTGCCGGGATGTTCCCTTCAAAACAAAAGGCAAATTATAAAATACATATAAGCCAGATAAAAGGAAAAAAATCACTTATAAATCCTCTGAAAGAGATACCTAAAATTGTTCATAGCGTTTATGTCCTTTGAATTTTTTTTCATTGTGCAGAGTCTAAATATGATCCTCAGTCACTAGGTGTCTGAACTGGGTCCAAGAGTATTATCTTGTTTATTTATCGATATACTTGTTTACTATCTACTTTCCTTTTTGTGATATAAGCTCTATGAGAGTCAGGTCTTTGTCTTGTTCATTACTAGATAACTGGCACCTAGAATGCAATTCATGCTCAAGAATTTTATTTTGTGTGTGGTGGAATGAAGTGCACTATATACCCTGCTTTGTAGTTAGCTATTTTCAACTAATTTCCAGACACTTCAGGTAGCATTTCATCTTTCTTCATGTGTCACTCCAGAAGTCCTGTGAAAACAGAGTGCCCCCATACTCCAAAGACTGTGTAGCTTCAGAACCAAGAAGCTTGAGTCTTTTGTAGCCCTCAAGTCTTTCTCCTTTGGCCAGTACTGCTTTAAATCTTCAGCAGGTACAGCCTTGCTCTAATCATTCTTTAAACAACCCAAATTAGCCAAAGCAAGTAACAAGATCTGAATAAGTTAACTCACTCCCGGGCAAACCACCCAGCCCAGGGCCACATTCCTCCTCCGACCACACGGGGACACTATAGTGCCATAGTCCGCACAGGGGCAGAGGTTTCCCCCAGAGAGGACGACTCTGGGCGGGAATATTGACTGCCCGGGGTGGGCGGAGAAAAGGTTCTGGCCGAGCCAAGGGCAGGAAGTGAGGAGGCGGGGCTTCTCGGAGGGTTTTGCGCGTGCGCAGAAGTCGGGCCGGAGGAACCCAGGTTTTCGCCATTGCTAGAGTCTGTGCTCACGGTGATGCCTTTGCCCTCTTCTTTCGTGTTGGGCGGGGCGGAGGGGACGGGGTGCCGATTGGGAGCTGGGGTGAGCAGGGCAAGGAGAGACGCTGGGTAAGGAGGGGACCTGTGAGGTTGCAGCGGGGCTGGGTGGCGAGGCCTGGGGCGCGGGAGAGAGGGCAGGTGCGAGGGCACAGCCTGGTCCTCCCCCGACCGGGATGCCACGGAGCCAAGTTGCAATTTGGCACAGAGGCGGTGTTTTCCGGGAAGATCCTCTCCTTCCCTCCTCCCACAGACTGTCCTTCTCATCAGCTGCCCTTAAGTGTCCCTTCCTAACACGGGATTGCGCGCCTCAGCCGAACCCCTTCACCTGTGCAAACCTCTTCTAGCTGTTTAAGGCATCTCAATATCAGCCCCTCGCTTTTTTCTTCTTTCTGAGGGAGGAAAAAGTTTCCTGCCTATAGTCGACAGTGAAAACCAGAAAACTTCTTGCGTAAATAGTTCTGGAGAGTTTTAATAGTTTCTTTATGAACTTGTCTACGAAATATCACTTTTATTCTATTTAAATGTCACCTATGTATGTAAAATGGAGCAACAGTTGTACTGTGCTATGAAGTCCTCAGCGAGAAACGTTGGTCCAGGGACATGAAAATACCTCATTTGAAATTCAGGAGTTGATCAACTATAGTGACTCCGACCAAGGCCTTGTAACCCTAACTAAAAAGGTTTAAGGTTCATATCAGTCATTCTCTGACAGGGTGAAGGGGGTGCAATGTGGCTTTTGGAAGCTTAAGAACCCAGACTGCTGCCTTACAATTTTTTTTTTTTTTTAAAACAGACTTCCGTTATGTGTGTACTTTGCTTGAATGATTATTTTAAAGTACATGTCCTATTTTTGCCAATCTGACAGCTGTTTCCATAGAAACTAGAGAAGAAATAGTCATTTTCAGCGAGAGTTGTTAAAACTGTCTTCCAGTCTTCAGCTGTGAGTGCCAGTGAGTGCTGTACTTGCTCATTCTGAGATGATACTTAAAGAATTAAGAATCTGAAATGTTCTTAGAGGCTCACAATTCAAATTGCTTAATTTTCTCACATCATTAATTTAGTAATCCTAGAAGTCTGCCTGCTATGTTTGTTGACCTGTCACAGTTCTTTGAAGAGGATATGTCAGATCCAATTCTTTCTTAGGTGCTGTATTGTCTAGTGATTGGCTCTTTGAAAATGTATAAATAGATTTCTTCCCCCATTCTTTACCCCATTTTAAGGATAAAGCAGAATTACAAAATATCAGGTACTGTTTCTATATAAATGACACTTGATTGTCAGTGATATAAATGGTAATGATTTAAATTATATATGGGTAGTATTTGGGGCTTTTGGCTCTGTTAGTAGAATGCTTAAAACTTTTTACACAAGTTATGAGGGATGAGCAGGAGTTTGCTTGTCATATGAGCAAAGCTAAGCAGTATGAATAGATGCACATAGGCATAGAGATGAGAGCTTTCTTTTCTGAGGGGTACAAGTAAAGCAGAGATTGTGAAATTTAGGGATGGGTGAAGAAAGTTTGGGAAAAGTGCCTGGAGATGTAAGGGGGAGACAGCATTATGAAGATTATTGAGGCCTATAGAAAATGAATGGAAATAAAGCAGAGTTGGTTGGTTTGGAGTTTATAAAAGTAATAAATCCTGTAAAAATTTAAACTGCACAGAAATATGTAAGATGGAAATACTAAATCCCTATGACCACCATCCTGCTACTCAAAGTGTCATTATGAATAGTAATCTTCCTTAAGATTTGCTTATTTTTGCATACATTAACATATTTTAATATTACTATTTTTACAAATTGGGTAGGAATTTTTTTCTGTTTTGTTCTCTGTAATATCCCTACCACCCACAATTATGTCTGGCATGTAGTAGGAACTCATTAAATATTGAGTAAACGAATAAATGAAATGAATAATATAATCCAGAGGTCAAAAACTGAATGAGATTTGTGAATATTTGGTAAAGGTGGTTAAAAAAATTATGTTAGTTGCCAGCATTTTACAATTGACAATTTTTAAGCCTGGATTTCTGCTGGTGGTTTTGAAACATTTGGGAACATTAAGCTCAAATTCCACCATACTTGTATCTCCTTTTAGTCGGAGGTGAATCTGTGTTCATGTAAGTGTGGCTTTACTGATATTCACCTGCCTGAATCCTACAAACCTGCTGCCTAGTATGATAACCACTAGTCACACAAAATATGGCCATTTAACTTTAATTAATTAAAATTAAGCTAGCTAAAAATTCTGTTCCTTAGATGTTCCAAGTGCTCAATAACTATGTGTAGGGGTTATCATTGGACAGTACAGATATAGAATATGTCCATCACTGTAGAAAATTCTGTTATGCAGTACTGCTTTAGATATTTCAGTTTGCCTCTCCTGGTATACAGAGTTTTTGCAAGTAGCATTTATTGTAATTATTTCTTAAATTCGCACATTTCTTGGTCATGATGTGGATCTCCATCTTTTTAGTGATTGTCTAATATTTAGCACCATATGATTTTATGTGAATTATGGAACTAGATTCTGTTGTCTGATCTGCATTTTAGAAAAGTTGCCTTTACTGTAGTTTGGGGGATGACTTGGAGTGGAAGAGATGGGGTGAAATGAGGCCAAATGATTGGAGACTGTATAGTAATCAATGTTGTAGGATTGCAGAGCCCAGGAACTGGATTGATAGGAGGTGAATACACAGGACTGATTTAATGTGGGCTTAGGTCTTTTGGATGTTACAGTCACTATAGAGATAATCCAGCATTTTCGGGAACTTTTGCAGTGCTATAAATTGGGAGGTTTGTAAAGTATAGAAGGAACATTAAGGTGGTTTCAATAAAGAACATGTATAATTCTAAAATTTTATCAATTTGTATATAAATGAATGTGTAACTGTTTCATACCATGTAAATGTCTTCGAGATAATTTATTTGCAAGACACTCAGTGAAGAGAGGGAATTATTTTAGGAATAAAGTAAAAGCTTATAAAGCTCAATTAAATGTAGAAAGTACTGTAGTAATCACTTAGGAACCAGGAAGTTCTTATTCATTTTCCTGTGTCTCTATCTCTTGCTGGCTTCATGGTCTATCACTTGTCTTCTTTTCACACATGTATTCCATTGTCCTTTCTGTATATCCTCCTGCAAAGCTTTTGGTTTTCAGCTCTTGCTTGTATATTGGTTTGCATTTCTATAGCACCAACTATAGTCCCCGTTTATTCAAGCCCATACATTCCTATGTTGAATACTGTCTTACATAAAACTTTTCTATATCAGATATCCAGTCTTAGCTTGGTGACCAGTGGCAGGGGTCATTAGGGACAAACATAACTCTTTAGGTACATCTCCTAAGTTGAGGTTGTGATTGGGGGCAAGTGTTTAAAGCTTATCTACCATATTAAACCCTCAGATTTGAAGTAAAGGAAGGAAAATGGATTTGTACTGTTTTTGCAGTTTGGTTTCTAGTAGAAGAACTTAAATACACTTTCCCATTTGAAACAGTTCTTCAGAATTTTTGTCTCTTTACATCTACCCAGGTGGCATAAAGAATTATAGTTTCCTCGACTAGATTATAACCTCTGTTAGGGCAACGACTGTGTTTTATGCTGTTACTGTAACTCCTATGCCAGCTAGACAAACTAAATACATGAGGATGGTCCCATTAAATTATAACAGAACTGAATATCTCCCATGGCCTCGTGACATTGTATATCTTATAATATGTTCCTGGCACAATGTGTTACTCACCTGCTTGTTGTGATACTGGTGTAAACAAACCTGCACTGTGGGTCATATAATAGTATAACACCTATGGTATGTACATTACATAATACTTGACAATAAACCACTATGTTACAGGCTTCTGTATTTACTATACTTTTTATTTTAGAGTACTCCCTACTTATATTTTAAAAAGATTTACTGTGAAACAGAATGCTATATTATTCTGGCAGCAGCCTCACACATTTTGTTTATCATGTCCCTCAATTGCCTTGAGAGGCCATGTTGAGTGTTTGACCTATACCATCTAGGTTTGTATAAGTACACTCTATGATATTTGTATAGTGATGAAATCGCCTAACAATGCATTTCTCAGAATGTATCGTAGTCATTAAGCAATGCATGACTACTATTTTTGAAATGATTTTCAAGGTTAAATTATTTTACCACTTGTCATATTGGTTCAAAAAATAAAAATCCTATAAAACATCTTGTTAAAATGTCAAACTATTATAGATCAGCCTGGACTCTACTAATTAAAAATTGGTAGTAACTCAGAAGGGGTTAACTTGGAGTTATTTTTACTTAGCATGAGCTTTATTCACTTTATACATTAATAGTATAAGCTCAGAGTATATAAACTACATACAAAATAAATTTGAATACTTTTCAAATGGTTTAGTATATAGATAATCTTACTTATTAAAACTAGCAGTTCTAAAGCATCTTTTAGATAATGTTGTATTAGCCAAGGTTGAGTTAGTTTTTTTTTTCTCTTTTTTTAAAAAATTTTTTATTGTTGGTTGTTCAAAACATTACAAATTTTGAGTTAGTTTTATATCTCCCCAATTTTTATTATAAAGATTTTTAAAACATTTAGAAAAATTGGGGGGGGGGGAAACATTTAAAGAACTCATATAGGGCTGGGTTGTGGCTCAGTAGTAGAGTGCTTGCCTAGCACGTGCAAGGCCCTGGGTTCTATCCTCAGCACCACATAAAAATAAACAAAATAAAGGTATTGTGTCCAACTATAACTAAAAAAAAAATAAATATTAAGAAAAAAGAACTCATATAACCATCACAGACACAGTAATTGTTAATATTTACACTATTGGCTGTATGTCCTCTATGTATGTGCATTTGCAGTACAATTTTTACAAAAGTAAGATTTGTACTTCAAGTATCTCTGGAATGAGATATTCACCTACATCACCACAATATCATTCCCTAATAAAATAAGTAATCTTTATCTAAATTAACTTAAAAACAAATCCAAATTCAAATTCTCCCACTAGGTCTTTTAAAGCTGATGATTTTCTTCCAAATTGGATGCAATTTGGGCACATTGTATTTGGTTATTGTCTTTTTAGTATCTTTTAAAAGATAGTTTAATTGATAATTAATATGTAGTGATTTGTACATATTTAAACTGTACAGTGTAAGTTCTGACTTGTGGTTATCTATAAAATCAATACTGTAATCAAGAGGGTGAACAAATTCATTACCTCAGCTGTTTGCAATGCCTTCCCTTGCCCCTTTTTACCTATCCATCCCCAGGCAATTATTGCTCAGATACTATAGATTACTTTGCATTTTTTTGCAGTGTATATTATAGATCTGGAATTGTAGAGTATTACATATACTTTTCTGGAGGGGTACATATGGTTTCTATCACTTGTTAGTATATAAAAATACAATTATTTTTATATATTATTTTTGTATTCTGGTACCTTACTGAACTCGTAGCATTTTTTGTTTGGATTTTTAATTTAGACAATCATGTTATCCAGAAGTAAAGACTGTTTTGCTTCCTTATTTTTGGTCTGGATATCTACCCTCCTTCCCTCCTCCCTCCCTTCTTTCTTTCCCCCTTCTGTCTCTTTCTGACTAGGACCTCTAATGCAGTGTTGAGTAGAAGTGTTGAGAGCTGACATATGTGCCTTGTTCATGATCTTAGGGGGAAAATGTAGTTTGTTTTTTTTTAAACCAATAAATGTACGATGTTTGCTTCCTGTATTGACTGTTTCCTCTTTTATGAGATTGAAGAAGTTTCCTTCTATTCCTAGTTTACTGTGAGTTTTTTATTTTAAAATCTGTGATGGATGTTGAATTTTATTTTTTCTGTGTCTATTGAGATGGTTATGTGGTGTTTCTTTCACAGTCCATTAATAGGGTGAATTATTTTGATTGATTTATGAATGTGTAACCATTCTGGGATGAATCTTTCTTAATCATGAGGCCACCTTTTTTTTTTTTTTTTTTGGTACCCAGTATTGAACTCAGGGGCACTTGCCCATTGAGTCACATCCCAAGCCCAATTTTTGTATTTTATTTAGAGACAGGGTCTCACTGAGTTGCTTAGCACCTTGTCTTTGCTGAGGCTGGCTTTGAATTTGTGATCCTCCTGTCTCAGCCTCCTGAGGTACTGGGACTACAGGCGTGCACCACAGTGCCTAGCATGAGGCCACCTTTTCATATAATGAGTTAGATTTTCTAAAATTTGTTAAGAACTTTTGTATCTAGTGGGCTGGGGATATAGCTTGGTTGGTAGAGTGCTTGCCTTCCATCACAAAACCTTGGGTTCAATCCCCAGCACACCCTCCCCCTGTCCCCCTTCCCCCCAACAGAGAGAACTTTTATATCTAGGTTCATGAGGGATATTACTTTATGGTCTTACTTTAGTGTAGTTGTCTGGCTTTGGTATCAGGCTTATGGTGGTCTTAGGAATGTGTTACAACTATTCTTTCCTTTAATATTACTGAAAGTGTTTATATAGAATTAATATTAATTCTTTATAGAATTCCTCAGTGAAGCCATTTGGGCCTGAGCTCTCTTTGTGGGAAAATTTTTAAATTGGACATTCAATTAAAAAGGTAGAGCTCTTCAGGTTATCTGTTTCTTCTTGAGTAAGCTTTGATTGTGTTTTTCAAGGAATTTATTCATTTCATCTAAGATGTCAAGTTTGACATTTTCTCTTTCATTGGTTTTAATAAATTATGATGTGCCTTGGAGTTGTTTCCTTTGGTTCATTAAACTTTTTAGAATTGTGGGTTTATGGTTTTTATCAGGTTTAAGCAATTTTTGGCCATTATTTCTTCAAGAACTTCTCATCTACCTCCCTTCCCCTGCTTGAGAGGATTCTAGCTGTAAGCATATTAGGCTGTTGAAGTTCCATACCTCATTGATGCCCTATGCAGTTTTTTAAGTCTGTTTTCTCTCTCATATTTCTTCAGGTTCACAAGTCTTTATTTCCACAATGTCTAATAAGGTGTTTAATCCTTTATGTCTTTCATCTTAGACATTATAGTTTTCTTCTTCAGAATTTAAATGTAGGCCCTTTAAAAAATACATTCCATGTCTCTACAGAGCATGCTTAAATTTTCCTTTAACTTCTTAAACATGTAAAATATAGTTATAATAACTCCATGAATATCGTTCTCTACTAATGCTGTCATTTGTATTATTTAGGAGTGACTTCATTTCCATTGATTGATATTTCTCCTAATTATAGATCATATTTCCTGCTTCTTGAGAGTCTAGTAATTTTTAATTTTAAATTATACCGTGTTAAGTACTAGACTTTTTTTTTTTTTTTATTCTTACATCTGTTCTTGAGGTTTTGTCCTCTACTGGCATGTAGCTGTTATATGGAAACAGTCTGACCTTTTAGGTATGTCTTGTTGTCTGTTGGTTAGGATCAGAATAGTTTTCAGTGTTGGACTAATTTTTCTGTAAGACTGAAGCCAAACCCTTCTGAGCACTCTACCCAGTTACCATGAATTGTAAGTTTTTCTGCTTCAGTGGGTGGAAACAGACACTGTGCCCAATGCTATGTAGCCTTGTATATATATTGTGCCCTCTATTCTTTTCAGGTAGTTCTTTGCAAACTTCAGTGGTTTTTGTTTTGTTTTACATACATGTGCCTATAGGACTCAGCTGAATGTGAGAGGGAGCTTCTCTGTAGATCTCCAGAACTCACTCTTTCTGCAGCTCTGTCTTTTCTTATTGTCTGCGTTGTAAATTGGGCCTACTGGCACTCCCAGCTTCATCTCTTCAATTTAGGGCAACCATTGAGTTTCACCTGTATTTTCCTGTCTTCATGGTCACCTGGAAACTCACCAGGTAGTATAGTAAGCTGGGTGAATAAAGGACTCATCTTGTTTGTTTCCCATCTTTCTACCTTTCATTTTCTAATGCTCAGTGTGTTGAAATGCTCAGTTGTTATATATAATTTTTTTTTTTTTAGGTGGGAGAGTAAATCTGGTCCCACTTTATTTTAATCCCAGTCAAAAGTCCTAGGATTTTATTTAAAAGAAAAACCATTTGTATTTTAAAAGATATATTTTATTAGTTAATTTTTCTATCCCACTGCATCCTTCTTTTCCTGTTACTACCAACTGATAAAATTTTACTAGTGTCTTTTTAATCCTGTCTATTCTTACTCCTCAAATAATTTGCTATTAAAATAAAAAGTAGACTTCTCCCCAACAAAAGGTTAAAAATGAAGTGAAAAAATGCAAGTTTTAAAAGTACATATTGTACAGTAATAGTGTTATATGTGTCCTTCTAGTTTGTATTGGTGAAAGGCATTGCCATGGGGGTGATGAGTAGAAGCCCAAGGTAATTTAGGCTGAGATATGGCAAAAGAACTACATCATACCTGTTTCATAAATATTATGTTCTTGGTTTGGTGAATAAATATTTTCCATAGATACTTATCTTTTATTTTTTTGTGTTCCAGATAATCAAGATCAAGAAAGATGAGCTTCATATATGGACTGCAGTCTGCTACTAGAAACTGTTTTCTTTCCCAGTTTAATTTACTGACCAACTGGAGAAAATGGAATTCACCAGCAGTAACTTTAGTGGGCTGTTGTCAAGTACAAAATCTCCAAATGATAAAGAAGTGTCAGGGTCTTAAATCATTCAGTCAGTGTGAGCTGTCAACTTTTCTCCCTGGAAACTTTCATTTCTGTAGGACTTTCAGTAACAAAAGAATAGGATACATCTCAAGTGCCAAAAGTAAGGAAATTTGGATGGTTACTCACAAAGGTACTGCATGGAATGACTCTTTTCCAAGATGGGAGCTTAAAAGATGGGTGCTTACCAAAAAAGTTGCAGTTGATCCTGCTCTTGGAGCCTTGTGTCCGCTGAGCTGTTCCTCTGTCAGGGTTGGCAGGAGCTTCCACACTTCTTCACGGGTTCAAACTGCTCCAGTTCCTCTCTTCTTGATCATTCTGAAACCAGTGCAGAAGCTACTTGCAATTATTGTGGGCAGGTAAAGTAATTAACAAAGTAACTTTTGTACTAACTTTTGTTAATTTTAGTGTTCACATTTGTATCGACTTCTATTAACTTAAAAATTAAAGTTTAATATGGAAAAACAGTACTTTTAAAGAAACCTTGTTTAGTCTTCCTCATACCATATTTAGCTCAAAATTGAGTTTTTATACAGTAGGTCCTACCCAGTTTTGTTATGTGTAATTTAATGCTCTCAAAATAATTTGCTGCATATTAATTTATGGTATAGAAATATGATCTTGAAAAAGTTATGTGTTCATGAGGCCCCCTTTTGTTTAAAATATATTTTTAGTTGTAGATGGACACAATATCTTTTTTTAAATTTTGATATGTTATATATGACAACAGAATGCATTATAATTCATATTACACACATAGAGCACAATTTTTCATATCTCTGGTTGTACACAAAGTAGAGTCACATTCTTTGTGTCTTTTTACATGTACTTAGGGTAATGATGACCATCGCATTCCACCATCTTTCCTACCCCTATGCTCCCTCCCTCCCCCTTTCCCCTTTGCCCTATCTAGAGTTCATTTAATCTCCATCCACCCCCAAGCATATTATGGATCAGTATCCTTAAGTCAGAGAAATCATTCAGCATTTGTTTTTTTGGGATTGTCTAATTTCACTTAGCATTATATTCTCCAGCTTCATCCATTTACCTGCAAATGCCATGATTTTATTCTCTTTTAATGCTGAATAATATTCCATTGTGTATATATACCACGTTTTCTTTATCCACTCATCTACTGAAGGGCATCTAGTTTGGTTCCACAGTTTAGCTATTGTTAATTGAGCTGCTATAAACATTGATGTGGCTGTGTCCCTGTAGTATGCTGTTTTTAAGTCCATTGGGTATGGACTGAGGAGTGGGATAGCTGGGTCAAATGGTGGTTCCATTCCCAGTTTCCCAAGGATTCCCCCTACTGTTTTCTATATTGGCTGTACCAATTTGCAGTCCCACCAGCAATGTATGAGTGGACCCAATATCTTTATTTATTTCTATGTGGTACTGAGGATTGAACCTAGTGCCTCACATGTGCGAGGCAGGTGCTCTACCACTGAGCTATAGTCCCAGCCCATTTTGTCATGTAAATTTTAAATAGGAAATAAGTGTACCTTTTAAAAAGACTTTATAAGAAGAATCAGAAGTATTGACTATAGCTCATGCTATAGTACTTAACATTGCCTTTTTATTTTGTGGAATTTGAGCCAGTGAATCATGAAACTGAAGAGCTTTTCTTTTTTTTTTAATTGGTTTTATTTTTTTAAATACATGACAGTGGAATGCATTATAATTCTTATTACACAAGTAGAACAATTTTTCATATCTCTGTATATAAACTATGTTCACACCAAATCATGTCTTCATACATGTACTTTGGATATTGATGTCCATCATATTCCTCCATCATTGCTAACTCCTTGCCCCCTTCCTTCCCCTTTCACCCCTCTGCCCTATCTAGAGTTTGTCAATTCCTCCCATGCTCCCTCTCCCTACCCAACTATGAGTCAGTCATCTTATATCAGAGAAATCATTCGCCCTTTGTTTTTATGGGATTGGATAACTTCACTTAGCATTATCTTCTCCAACTGCATCCATTTACCTGCAAATGCCATGATTTTATTCTCTTTTATTGCTGAGTAATATTCCATTGTGTATATATACCACATTTTTTAATACACTCATCTACTAAAGGGCATTTAGGTTGGTTCTTTTCTTATATAAGAAAGTGCTCATACCTAGTCAAGTTAACTTTTAAACCATTAATATGTAATTGTTCTGATTCTAAAATATTTCTCTTAGTAGTCCTTTATAAAAATTACCATTTTTGCTTCATATAAATAAATTCTTTTTGCAGTTCTGGGAATTGAACCCGGAGCACTCAACCACTGATTTATATCCCAACCTCTTTTTATTTTTAGCTTGAGACAGTATCTTGCTAAGTTTCTCAGGTTGGCTTTGATTTTGCAATATTTCTGCTTGACCTCCCATGTACTTGGGATTACAAAAAGTGCTTAAATAGTATATTTTTTTAAACCCTGTTTTTTCTTATTTCATTGAAATTGAAGAAAGCTCATCTCCTCATTAAGCTTTCTTAAATTTGGTAACTACAATGTCTCTTCTAGTTTTCTTTCTTCCTTACCAACAACCCAATTTGCTTTTAATAAAAATAAAAAAGTTCTCTGTAGGTTATTGTGTTCTTTATGATTTGGTGTTTGCACTCAGAAAATAACTAGTCATATTGGATCATAGGTTAAGTAACAAACTCTTCCCAGTTTCTTGGGATAATAGCTTTCTAACTTCTCATGTGAAAATTTTTTATTTTTAATGATTTTGTTTTTGTTACAACTATCAGTTACTTAAAATTGTCTTTTAAAATGTGTTCCATATACATTTTAATTAAGTAATAATGTCATGTAAATTTTAAATAGGAAATTTAAAATTTGTGTTTGATTTACTTATTTGTAGTTTGATTTATGTCTCTTCTGGTTAAGACTCTTTGTCTAAGGCATTTGTCTAAGGCATTTCATATATGTTATTGTGTTAGGCAGCTTTCCATTATGACAAAATACGTGAAATAATCAAAGGCTTATTTTGCTCATGATTTCATAGGTTTCAGGCAGTTGTCTTTTGGCCTTGTTACTTTTGTCTTGTGGAGGTTCAATGCATCATGGCAGAAGCCTGGAAGCAAAAAGAGGGAACTAGGAAAGGGCTAGGGTCCCAATATTCCCTTCAAGGGCATGCACTTCATGCCTAACTTCCTCTCACTAGGCTCCTACCTCTCAAAAGTTCCACCATCTCACAGTCCCGGTGGTGCCATAGGCTGTAACAAACCTTTTAACACTTGGACCTTTGGGGGTAACCTGTAAGCCATATTAGTAACTTAACAAAATTATGATAACTCTAAGATTTTTTAAAGTAAATTTTTGTTGAAAATGATGTATACATATTAAATTTTTATTTTGATTTTACTGGTGAACTTATAAGGAAAACTTTTTATCCATTATTGAAAACATTACTTGTTGTCAAAATGTTTATGAATTCTGCTGAGCAATAGAAATTGGACTTTCTCAGATGTTATCTAGAAAATCTCCCATTTGCTTATTTACAGTGCTTCTGATCTTCTTTTTACCTCTCCTTTCTCATGTTCTAGAGGGGATAAAGGAGTTTCTGCTTCTGAACAATATTTATTTCCAAAATCAATGCTGAGGTAGTTTTCCTTATACCTTGCTGAAGCACTGGCCAGAAATCTGAGAAGCAGTGGGAAGAATAGTGGTTAAAGGTATAAATTTGTTGTATAGTAGCTCCTTATATGTTTATTTGGGCAATTTATCCCTATTAAGTGGTTAAATGGTCAGACTCTGGAATGTCATTGCCTTCATTGCCTGGCTTTCCTCTTATTACTCTCTGAACTTGTACAAATTGCTTAATTTCTCTGTGTCTCAATTTTCTGTAACATGGTTGTTAGGAAGATTAAATGAGATGACATCTGTGTAATGATTAAAAAGAGTGCTTTTTGTGTGGCAAATAGTCAATAAATGTTAATTAGGTAGTTGCAGTAAAATAATCAAATAACTCCTCATTTACTATTTGTCCTTAAAATAGCTGAAGAGCAAATTCAAATGAGCATTAGAATTTTTAGCTATCTCTCTATATAGTTGATTACTCTTTGATCTTTTAGCTAATACGTTAAAAAATCCAACTATACTGAGAAAAATATCATAGAGATTCAAATGTTTAATGACATAAAATTCTAGCACATGCATTTGCATTTTGATGATATATGCTAGTACAGTTATCAGAACTTTGAACTTTTCTCTTTGCTCTAGGGGCATAAGGAAATGGTGGCAGGCACTTCCTCCTAACAAGAAGGAACTATTTAAAGAGAGTGTCAGGAGGAATAAATGGAAGTTATTCCTTGGTTTCACTGGCTTTGGACTGCTATTTGTAGTGTTTTATTTTACTCACCTGGAAGTGAGCCCAATCACAGGAAGAAGCAAGCTATTATTATTGGGGAAAGAGCATTTCAAACTTCTGTCAGAACTGGAATATGAAGCAGTAAGTAGTAAGAACTGTTTTTCTTTAGATTGTTTACGATAACACTCAAAGCAGGAAAGTTACATATATATGAAAGATGCACTGCTTTTTAGTTGTTGGAATGAAATAAACATCTTTTAGTTGTTGGAATGAAATTAACATCTTTTTTTTTTTTATTTCAAAAGTCCTGAGAACTTTCACATGTAGTATTCCCACTGTCTTCATTGCTTTGTTTCCCATTCACCCAATAACTCCTGTTCAGCATGTGTTATCTTTACTTTCTCAGGAAAGCCTGTCCTGATTATTCAGACTGGGATAGGCAGGGTGACTAGATCAGGCTCTAGGGGTTATCCTTCATTCACATTGAACTATGAACCTGCTCATTTGTAGTTGTGGCTGGTGCTCGGTGATAGTGGGGTTAGGTCTCTTACTTTTGTCTTCTTTTATCTTATTGTATTTTTCCCTCAAAGAACATACAGGAGGGTAACTTCATTATTTGTATAATTATTTACTTGTTAGTTTGTCTCCCTTATTGAACTAAGCTCCATGGGGCCAAGGACCTTGTCTGTTTTGTTTGGTGTTTTATCTTAAAGACTAGCATGTACATGAAGTGTGTTTAGTGTGAATTTATTGAGTGAACACATATGTAGTGATGTTTTAATTGAAAGTCAAGTAAAATAAAATATACATTTTTTCTAAACATTAGCTTTGGCAATTGTATTTCCTGAATGCAAAAAAAAAAAAAAAAAGGAGTGGGTGGGTGGGAATTCTAATTCTTAACTCCTTGGAAAGTATAATAACTCAGGTAGTTAGACATTTTGTACCCTAGTGAGCTACTTGGGGATATCAACATTCTGTCTCTAATGCCTAGGGCATACCATGATATGTGCTTAGGTCATGTTGGCTGAATTGATGTCTTTTAACCTCACTTGACCAAACTTTGATATGATTAGGTCTTTTTTTTTTTTTTTAATTGCAAATAAGCTGCTGAATTTATCAAAGAAAAGTTACCATTAAAATAAAAAATAATAATGACTTGTCTCTGTAGAAATTGTTCTTAAGACTAATCTCTTATAAGAGTATATACAGAGATGTGAGATATTTTTTAGAATTTAGCCTAGTAGGAGACAATTTTGAGGAAAGTATTCTGGAAAGATTAAGATGGGCTTTCTATTAGTGCATCTTGTACCATTCATATTGCTAAGAAATTTTTAAAAATTATATATATGTGCTTCTACATGTGTATATACATATACATATAGCCATAGATACACTTGTCTTTTTTTATTGTTTAATCTACAGATATAATACCTCTGTGATAAAATTAAAGCAAATGTTCTTTTAGAGATAAAGTATTATAATTACATATAATTGGAACTCCTTCAGATAGGTTCATAGTAGGTTTTTTTGTTTGTTTCAGTCAGTTTACATTGATGTATTATGCTTTAAAAATGTTAGTTGATATAAAGACTATTTTAATAGTCTTTAGAATATGGATTCTACAAAATATGTGTTTTTAGTGAAGCTGAAAAAGAAGGTTGCTCACTTGTTGATTCATATGTGAACGACAACTTGGAAGTTAAAGTATATATTCAGAACATCCTTAGTTATCTCAGTATACTTGAAAGGATCTCACATGAATATAGCTTCAGAAAAAGTTCTTGAAACACGAGGTGGCTAGTTTTGATCAGCATCATATGGAGAAAATTATGTAACCATTAGTTCTGATATTTTAGTAATTCCCTTTCAATCTGTGTGAATAAATCACTTTAAAATGAATAAAACGTCTTTTTAAAATTTTGTTCTTCATATTAGTATTGGTGTGTGGGGTGTTTTTCTAGTAAGTTATAAAAGTAACTCTTATGTCTTGCTTTTTTATGTGAAATCTTTGTTTTCTAGGCAGTGTTTTGCTTTCTAAAATACTTAGAAAGTAGAAATAAAATTTAAGCACTTTACTAGCATATAGGTTAATATAATGAAATTTTGATTTCAACACATTTATGTGAAAAATATTCATATTAGAATTTGTTCCATTGTGAGAAACCACTTTGCCTTTGCATGAATAATTCAAATTTGAGAGATTTGAGTGTTTAATATATACAAACTTTTACGTAATTAAAACTTAAAATGTTCAACACTAAGTAGTCATGTAACTCTTTATGAAGCAATATAAATGTTTTGTAAAATTCTTTTACAATAAAGAATATTTTCTTTATTTTATTTTATTTTTTTATTGGTTGTTCAAAACATTACAAAGCTCATGACATATCATCTTTCATACATTTGATTCAAGTGAGTTATGAATTCCCATTTTTACCCCAAATACAAATTGCAGAATCACATCAGTTACACATTTCACAATTTTTACATAATGCCATATTAGTGACTGTTGTATTTTGCTGCCTTTCCTATCCCCTACTATCCCCCCTCCCCTCCCAATAAAGAATATTTTCATTTTAATTTTTTAGTGGATGGAAGAATTTAAGAATGATATGCTAACTGAGAAAGACCCTCGATATCTGACTGTTAAAGAAGTGGTATATCATCTAATTGAATGTAATAAAGATATCCCAGGAATCTCTGAGCTCAATTGGGTTATTCATGTTGTTGATTCTCCAGATATAAATGCCTTTGTGCTTCCAGTAAGTAAATGTTTTCAAACACATTTTTATTGCTAAATTTAATGTCCTTATATTTTATGTTGTTCTAATTGCTTGTATTATTTTCTTTATGGTGCAGAATGGACAAGTTTTTATTTTCACGGGGCTCTTAAATAGTGTAACTGATACGCATCAACTTTCCTTCCTTCTGGGTCATGAAATAGCACATGCAGTACTTGGGCATGCTGTAAGTACCTGAAGTGAATATTCAGTTGTCAGAATATTGCTGCTAAAGTAGCAGGTTACATCTCTTCCAAGAACTGAGTCTTTTCAGTTTTCTGTTTATAATGATGGAATTTTAGTGTTTAGTAATTTCCTTATTCTGTTACCTAAAAAAAATGTGATTGGCTAATTTTCAGATTTTTTTATGATCTTTATACTTGATACTGAATCATTAGTGTTTCTTTTAAATACTATTTTTATTACCTGTCTCTTTTGCTAAAAAAGTAATTATTTTCAACCACTAATTATTTCAAATTAGATTTTAAACTTTCCATAGTTATCAACATATATATAATCTAGTCAGAAAATTAATTATATAAAATGATATTACTATTGAAGTGTGAAAACTAGTTTTCTTTTTGTTCATTCTCAGAGGATAGCTTAGAGCATCTCTGAAAATATCTAGAATGATAGGCCATATATAATTAATGCAAAGTAATAATGATACCTTGTCATCTTACAGTTTACCAAGGTTTTTAATATGTATCTTTTCATTCATAACTTTAATACCTCATGAAGTATATATTTATTATGCCTATTTTATATATGAGGACTGGTATTTAAAAAGACTCTAAATAACACAACATGACAAAGTGACTGACTTGGGAATTTAAAATAGGTCTTCTGCTTTCAAGTCCAGCATTTCTTCCTTTTACCACAATTACCTGTTTGTTGGCAGCAGTTTTTAAAATACATTATAGAATTCAGGTTGATTTATGGTCTTTTGATTACACATCTATTTGACTTGGTATGAGTCCAGGAAAATAACATATACTTGTTTTACTCCTTTTTAAATTGCCACTCATTAAAAAATATGAATGGCTCTTTTGTCCACATAATTAGAGAGAAGTATATTTTCTTTAATTGAAAACATGAAAGCAAATAGTGAAAGGATTATGAAATACTAAATCAGAAGTGTAAGTAATGTTAACCTCAAATGGAAACAATAATGTTTATGTTCCTTCTAAAAGTCTTCTTAAATTCTGCCTATTCCTAGAGTAATAAGAAAATAAGATAGGTCAAAGTTGTACTTATTCTGAAGTGCAAATAGTACTTTTCTCCCTTATTTCCTCAAAGTTAAAGGAAAATTTAAAAATTGTTTTTCTTAAATATGTACAAAAATAAGTCTAAGCAATTGTTAGTGTCATTATATGCACTCTGTCTTCCAATTAATGTTGTCATAATCACAAAAATAAATCAATCTGGCCACTTTAACATTTAAAAGGTTTTACTATTCATTATGTTTTTCTGGAATCTAGTTCAATGCCTCATTCTCATTATATTGTTGTTATCCTTGTCAGTGCAAGAACAGTAATTAGATGAGACATAAAATGCAAATAGTACCCTTCATAGAAAACAGTTATTAATACTTCTATTGCAGAGGTCTTTATTATATGAACACATTTTTCTCTTTTGGGAGTCTAATTTTAATTAAATCTAACTTTTTTTGATGTTTTCTTTGTTTTACAAATACACAAATTTTTTTATTTCTAGTTTTCTAAGACTGTGTAGTGGTAATCATATTCTTTAGTAATTAATAGCAAGGACTTTCTGTTCCATAATGGCTTCATTATTTTAAGTTTCACTCTTTCATGTTAAAATAATCCTGTACTTGTTTTTCATAGGGCACAGTTCTTATAATGAAGCAAAGTGTGTTTGTGATGAAAGATGATATTTTTGAAGAATATAGTCCAAGTCATTGCTTTTAGTCTCAGGCATGTTTCATATGTTCAAGTTAATAACTGCTATGTTATCATTCTCAGCATTCCATTAACATTTACTAATCAACATCGGTAGCAAACAAGAAACAATCCAGTGTATTAAACTTATATTAGACGTTACTATTCAAAACAACTATATTATGTATAACCTTATTTGGTTACTTTTATAGGTAAATACAAAAACTCAACCTAATTCTCTGGTGAGGGATACTAAAATCACAAAATTGACAACTTGTATAAATCAATCATACTTTCCTAAATTAGATCATAAAGACCAAAAGACTTTTATTTAAAATAAACTTCCAGTCTTTTTCTGAATTATTTCTTACTTTAACTGCTTCATATGTTAGGTAGTGTTTAGTCTTTATCCAAAAATGTAAGTACAATAAACACATTTATTTTATGTTTAAAAAGATTTATGATTGTATTAGAAACTAAAACTTACTGGGTCTGTCTGATTCCTGGTCCTTTCACTAATAATGATATGAATTTGGGTAGTATTTTTAAGGGCCTTCTCCATCTCAGTTTCATTATCTGTAAAATAGGAGTAATTTAACCTATTTCACAGTATTGTGCTGTTAATATAAGAAACTGTAGATTAATGAACCTGTCATTGTCTGACTTGATAGTAAGCAGTGCAGTAAGTGCATGACTATGTAAGTAAGGGACAGGAAAAAGAGACTGGGAATGATATGCACACAGAAGAAAGAGAAGTAAGGGTTTTATTTGTTGAGGACCACTTAAACACATGCAGTTATTTAATGTGATTACACATGATAACTAGAGAATATAAACACACTGTCTCAATTTATTGAATGTAATTTTTCACTTTTTTTTTATTGTTCTCAGGCGGAAAAGGCTAGCTTGGTTCATTTACTGGATTTCCTTGGTATGATTTTTCTCACAATGATTTGGGCCATTTGTCCACGAGATAGTTTGGCAATTTTGGGCCAGTGGATACAGTCTAAACTGCAGGAGGTAAGTCTGAGATAATAACTTGAATTTATAAGGGTTACTTGCGGATATTTTAATACTATTGTGAAGCAACAAATACCAGAGATGTTTCCACTTTTAGGGTGGAAATTTAATATTTAATATTTATTTTATTTAATATTTAATTTAACATGGGTATTGAATTTTAGTGCCTTATGTTTACTTGTTTTAGGGAATATTCTTATATGAGAATTTCAGGAATGCTACATCTCTCAAATACGTGATGCGTATGGATGGTTTAAAAGGGTTAGGTCATTTTTAGCTAATATCTTTTTTTCACATAGTTGTTGGTCTTACAGAGAGAAAGCATAGTCATGAACCCTTTCTTTCATTCTGTTACTCTAGTGTACTGACTCCCTTGTCCCCCAGATATTTTCATTTTTGGGGAAAACTCTTCAAAGAAATCTCTAATGATGATAGGGTTGCTAAGCTGCTTTATCACCCTCTCCTGCTCACTCCCATTTAAACTTACATTGCCTCAAAAATATTGAAAGGACAGTCTTACTAGGTATTTGTTAACTTTGGTTCTTAGTGTTTATGTGTAATGATAATCTCAAAAATGTATTAAGTCTTTCATTTTGTTTAAAACGCTGCATTACTGAAAGTAGGTCTTGTAATCTTCATAAGTACTTTGTTAACCATGATTAACTATTTTACATTTTTCTTTATTTCTTCTTGTCCTGGGAGTTTGGTTATTTAGGCACAATCTGTCATTTGTTTATTTAATGTTGTGGAGCACCCATCAGAGTGCCATCTGGGTGTTGTTCAAATCTAATGTTCAGAATTCTCTGAGACAAATTGCTTTTGAGATTCAATAACTAAGGCTTTTATTTAGAGTTCTCCTATCACTTGGCTTCATTTATATTGAAGTAAAGGTTCTCAAAGGGAAAAAAAGAAGGAATGGTTATTGCTTAGATTATAGGATCTCACATTTTGGACCTTTGTTTCTGTCACTGACCTGCTGGAATGTCAGAGGAGTTCATATGGTCTTCCCCAACCCATCCATCTATAGATTACTTTTTCTGTGGTGGAATCAGATTTGGTTATAATAAAGATATCTTGTATCTGTTTCTTGAAATTCTTGACGAAGCCTGCCTTTTCATGGTAATTCTTTAATTCAATAATTAAATTGAAAATAGAATAGAGATGACTTTTGTTTGAATTCTTTTCCCCTCAAAACTTTTGGTGACACATATTTTTCTCTCTATAAAGCCCTGCTCACTGTGACTGGGAAGGAGAAAGGAATGCTGATAGTAAAATTGTTAGGGAGTGGGAATTGCCTACATTCATTTGCTGTGGCTATTGAAAACTACATTTAATGACAGGATTTCTCAATCTCAGAACTATACTTGTTTATTGTGGGGAGTTTTCCTGTGCCTTGTAGTTATCAGGGTCTTTTCCTAGTTGTGACAGTCAAAAAGTCTGTACTTAACAAATGTCCCTGGGGGACAGAGTCATAACAGATTGAGAATACTAATTTAAAGCATTTAGCACAGTCCTTGTCATAAAGTAAGGACACGGTAAATATGAACTATTGATTTTATTATTGCTTCATTTAATTCTCTTTGTAAATCTAGGAATTTGGTGCTTGCTGGTATTAGTTCCATTTTACATATGATACTACTGGTTCTCCTTTTAAAGCCAATGTTTTAAATTGGTATATTATTAGTAGACTCAATGGGACACATGAAGACTGCTCATGAGAGTGAAGAGACTGTGATGTCGTTTACCAATCTAAACCAGATACGATTGAGAAGAAAAAAATTCACATCTAATGATCACATACTGTTTTCAGATTGATTATTTTTAGTCATCACAAACATGTTGCTACGTTTGAAAAATCGTTTCCCCAATTAATAGCTCTTTTCTCAAAGAAAAAATGCCTATTGATCTGTCCTTTACAAAGTTTTAGTATTTACTGAAAATTAGAATTTAACTGAAAAGCATTCTCATAAATACAAGTAATTAGGAAAATAAAAGTTATAATATCTATTCTTAAAAAATTGAAGTCAGAAGAAAATTTCATTTTCCTAACAAATTAATACTTAGAAAGGAAAGGGAAATTAAGATAATTTATCAAAGAAACAAAGTTCTGCTATATTGTTAATTTTCTTACTGAAATAAATCTTCTAATAGTATCACTGGTTATTATGGACTTATATTTTTTAAATTTCATTTTAAACTGTAATATCAAAATGTTCTTTGGTCATATTAAGAGCTTGCATTAATAAGCTTTCTTAGAGATCCCTCTACTCAGTGGAGATTATAATTGGAAAACAGATATAATGATACAATTGACTGTCCAGAAATTTGTAGGCATGTTTTTTCTATTTTTCCTTGTTTTTAAAGTATTAATCTGATGGAAGAAATGAAGGTTCCTTTTATGTTTTATACCATGGTATTCTTTAAAGATGTAGGAAGTATAGAAATTTTATCCTAGATACTCTCTGAAATTGATTTTTAAAAATTTCATTTTGTTATTCCTTTTGTCAAAAACCAAATTACCTTAATGGAATTTTTCTATCATATTTCTTTTTAGTATATGTTTGATAGACCGTACAGTAGAGCACTGGAAGCTGAAGCTGATCAAATTGGACTACAGTTTGCTGCAAAGGTAAAGTGATTATTAGTTGAAAGTAGTGTTCTTCACATAGTAAAAGATAAATGTGTGTTGTCTTAATGTTTGGCATGGGCAGAGATTAAGAATTAAAATATATTAATCCTAAATATTTATCAGCTTCCCATTACTACAACAAAATACCAGAGTCAGCTAATTTCAAGTGAGAAGAGGTTTATGTAGTTCGTAATTTTGGAGGTTCAAAAACATAATGCCTGCATTGACTGAGTTCTGGTGTGGGTAGAAGATGGTGACATGTCATGTCAGAAGCGTGCATAGAAGCAAAGTGGTAATATCTATAATGGAAGTAGAGAGAAAGAGAGGACAGGTGAGGTCCCACAATCTCATTCAAGGACACACCCCCAGTGACCTAGGGATCTCCAACTTGTTCCCACCTTCTAAATGTTCCACTACCTCCCAGTAGTGCCACCTGGGGTCCAAGCATTTAATGGTAATGGACTCTTGGGCATCATTCAGACCTTATCCAAACCATAGTCCCCTTATGTAATTTTCATTAATCTGTAGAATTTGAAGATTGTCACCTTTGCAAGAATGCAAACTAAAGATGTTCACTTAACCCCCTCCTATATATGAGGTTTTGTTATGTCTTTAACAGAATATGTAAGATTATAGTGCCGTAATTATAGGGTTATATAAAAAAGTCTTAATCTTTTATTGGAAAGAATTTTTTGCATGTTTTATTATTTGATTACAGACATGAATTATGTAAATTGAAAATTTTAAACGTAGGGATAAGTAATGTCTTGATCTCCTTGCTCTATAGCCAGGAATGGTGGCACATGCCATTAATCCCAGTGCCTTGAGAGGCTGAGGCAGGAGAAGGAGGTCAGTCTCAGCAACTTACCAAGGCCCTAAGCAACTCAGGGAGATTGTGTCTCTAAATAAAATATAATAAAGGGCTGGGGATGTGACTCAGAGGTTAAGTGCCCGTGAGTTCAATTCCTAGTACCAAAGAAACAACAACAAAAATAACCAGTCAACCCAAAAAAAAAACCTCAAAAACAAAACAAAACAAAACTTGCTCTCCCTAGAAAGCTAATGCAGTCTTTAGTTTCCTCCTGTCCTTGCGTTTCTGATCTAAGGAGGCTCTTTGAGTAAATAAGATGATGTATAGCTGTTACCCCACCTAGAGAAAGGCTAATCCTATTGTAGCTATGATTCTGATTGAGCAAAATGTTTTTACATTTTTACATACACGTAAATAGATGTATAAAGGAATAGGCATTCAGTGTGTTTTTGTTGTAGCAGGTGACTTTTTTTTCCTTTACTTTTACTTAAATTGGTTTTGTTTCTCTCCTGAATGGATACTTCTTGCCTGACTACTATTTTAATCACCTGTAGTAACAGTTCCTGAATTTAACATTAGAAGTAAAAGTGTAGTTTTAATAAAAATGAGTGTAAACAATGCCACTTCACATATTAAGTTCAAGTTTTATTTGATCCTTTGTTAAGTTTCCAGTAGTTATTATTATTGAAATTACTATTACTTGAACCTCTCATAATGAGTTTTATAGTTTAATTTTATAAATCAAGATATTACTCATTTACAAACCAGAAGTCATTATTTGAATATTAAGTAAGTAAAATTAAGTGAATTTTCAGACTGCATACATTGAGATTCCTAAATAAGGAGTGATAGATATGCTATATCAAGACCTTTCTAATTTTAATGTATTACGGTCTGTCAGATTTTCCCTTTATATTGTGTGTTCTTTGTTCTTGATAAGAAATCTTGTTGATCTCAATAAATTGTGCCTGCTTAATTTCCAAGAAACTTCTTTATTATCTTTTTCATACCATATAAGAGGCTAAGATAATTTTTTTCTATATGGATAGCTAGTAGAGTTGGCACCATTTATTGATGAGCATTCTTTTCTTCACCACACTTCAGTATCTTTTTGTTTTAAAGGTGGTGGTATATCTGGGGTCTATTTTCTGGACTCCTTATTCTCTCCCATACCACATCATTACTATGTTTTTGTAATAAATGTTGATATCTGATAGCTTTTGTCCTCCAGTGTTTTGCAAGATGGATTCGGCTATTCTTGGACCTTTGCATTTTCATTTGAATTTTAGAATCAGCTTTAAATTATACAACTGTTTACAAAGCATGCCTAGAATTTTTATTAGAATTGCATTGCATTTATACATCAATTTGGGGACGACTGCGTCCTGTGCAGGCAATGGGAATGGGATTCCCCTCTGTGGAATGGGTTGGCTGAGAAATAAAAGCTAAGAAAAATAGAACTACGACAAAAACCTCAAGACACAGAAAATATTTTCAAAAAGTTGGGGTGAGATGGGCAAGCTAACCAGACAGATCAAGCTTCTAGACTAAAAGGCAAAATGGAGCCCACGTCTGCTTTATTTATATTGGGGGGCATCAAAGGCTTTCCATAGAATGTTCTTCTCTAAAAAATGTTGAAGGTGAGCTGCCCAGTTCCCAATGGGTTGTGCCCATCTCTAGAGAGACTGTGAGAGATTTTCCTAGCTGAACAAAGATAAAGGTCATGTGCCTTGGGCAGTCTATTGCATGGGAGAGCCAGGGATAGTCCCCAAGGTTAAACCTGAAATCTCCCTGACTACATGCTAAGATCCTCATGTATTTTTTACAGGTGGTGCCCTGTAGTCTACCATATTGATTTTCTCATCCATGAATATGATATATTTATCTATTTATTTAGATGTTTTTAAATTTTTCTCAGTAATGTTTTGAAGAGTTTTTGTATGTAGGACTCAGACATATTTGGTTAGATTTATTGTTAAATGTGTGATGTTATGATAGATAGTGTCATTTTAAAAATAAATTGCTTACAGATAGAACTATCATTTATTTATATAGCTAACTTGGTATTCAGCAATCTATTTCTTACTTTCCAGTCTGTATACTTTTTTCCTGCCTTATTGTAATAGCAAGAAACTTCAGGTGATAGGCAACTTTGTTTCTTCTGGATCTTAGAATATTTTGCCATTAATTATGATGTGTGTTATAAGCTTTTTATAGAGACTTTTTATCAGATGAAAATTTCCCTTTTAATATTTTAAGTGATTTTTAAAAATTATAAATATTATATTTTATCAAATGTATTTGCTACATTTACTGAGAGGATTATGTGATTTTTTCTCCTAATCTGTTAGTGAGGCAAATTACATTGATTTTATTTTAAAGTAGTCAAACTTTTACTAGTAGAAATAAACTGGATTTTGTCATTTATATTACTCTTTAATATGTTGCTTGAATTAGTTTGCTGACGTATATTTTGAATGTTTATGTTTATTGGAGATGGTAGCCTGGAATTTGCTTTTCTTATAATGTTTTTCTCAGTTTTTGGTATCAAGGTTATACTGACGTAATAAAGTGAGTTGGGAAGTGAACTTAATTTTCTATTCTCTGGAAGACAAGAATTGTAAGAAATGTAATGAAATGAAAGACGTGTAATGTTAATCTTTCTATAAGAGTAGCATTATTTATTTTTTAAATGTTTGGATAATTCATAGGTAAAGCCACTTGGTTCTACAGATCTCTTTGTGGGATTGTTTTTAATTATGGGCTTAGTCTCATTAATAGATGTAGAAGTATTCAGTTTTCTATTGCTTGTGTCAGTTTCTATTGCTTGTTTCTCTAGGAATTTGTTTAAATTTTCAACAATATTGGTATAAAATTATTTTAATATATTATTCCTATATTTTTAATGTCTAAAGGATACCTGTATTTTACATATTAAATTTTAAATATCCTCCTGGTTCCTAATATTGGTGATCTGTGCCCTATCTTTTTTTTCTAGATTTTATCACTTTCATTAATCTTTTCAAAAACCATCTTTTGATTTTATGTAATTTCTTTATTATATGTTTGTTTTCTATTATATCAGTTACTTTTCCTATCTTTATTAATTTTTTTCAGGTTTCATATGCTGTTCTTTTCCATTGTTTCTTAAAGGGATACTTATTGATTTTTTAAATTCTGTTTTGCTTTTAACACACATGCTCTTTAAGTTACAGTGGGGTTACATCTTTATTAACCTGTCAGAAGTTGAAAAATATGCTGTGGTTTGGAAGTGTCCCCCAGAGGCCCAGGTATTAGAGACTTGGTCCCCAGCCCATGGTGCTATTGGGAGGTGGGCCTATTGAGAAAAAGTTAGATCACTGGGAGCATGCCCTTGAGGGAAATATTGGGTCTCTGGCTCCTTCCTCTTTTGCTTTCTGTTGCCATGAGGTGAATAGACCTCTTCTTCCATATGCTCCTCCCATGATGTATTGTGTCTCCACAGGCCCAAAGCTACAGGGCCAAGTGACCATGGCCGAAACCTCTGAAACTGTATGCCAAAATCAGTCTTTCCTCCTTTTAAGTTGATTATGTTAGGTATTTTGTCATAGTGACAGAAAATTGACTAACAGCTCATTACACCTAACTTTTTAACCATCATAGCTTAGTAGTTCAGTGCCTTTTACCATATTTGTGACTTATCTTTGTGGTCATGTGTCTGGCTGGGAGCTGTGACTCTGCTGCTGCCCAGGCTCATTAGAGTACCCTATATATATTGCTAGCCCAGGAAAAGATCAAAATTTGAAGTGTGATTTCTCCTGAATGCCTATCACTTTAACAATATCCTCTAGTCAAAAAAACTCAAGTTAAACCATTGTAAGTTGAGGACTATGTATATATTTAAGGATATCCTTTAGGAGAACCTTTGCTTGCCACATTGCAGGAATTAATATGCATTTTTTTCTTTAGTTTAAAATATATTCTTGTTTTCATTGTGATTTTTCTCTTTGACTCTTGGATTATTTAGAGGTTTATTGCTTAATTTTTAATCATTTCATGATTCTATGGTTACCTTTTGTTTTTGATTTCTAAATTAATTACACTGATTAGAGAATATACTGAATGATTAATGTTATTGTTTGTATATGAGGTGTCCCCCCAGAACTCCTGTGTTGATGCACGAATGTTCAGAGATAAAATGACTGGGATT